TTAGTGAACTAGGAGTGATTTATATGAAAATTGTAATTATGTCACAATAATTAGGGTTATGTGAACTAAATATACAGAGACTGTATAAGACTTTTCTGAAAATAGTGGAATAGTTTGCTTACCTGAAAGTAAAATTACTTGAGTAAATGAACTTTTTTTCAGGTTCATCAGTTGCGCACTAAATGTCCAGTATGCAAAAAGGTTCTGTCGCGACATTATCATATGAAGGTACATCTACTGACAGTACATAAAGTACCGGACGCAGAAATAGAAGGCCTTCTAAGGAGCCAAAACATCGTTTAGTATATAATTCAAACGGCTTGAAAAATCATATTTTATATGTAAATAATATATATAAATATAAATATATACCAGACAAATGTTACAGCTAATTGTTTTGTATATTAAACAATAAAATATTCTTTTCTACATACTTTTAATTTTATGTAATATAATTATGTATTATAAATATCTAATGTAGCATCTGTACAAGGCTTGAAAAGCAAGAGTGGTTGCTCTTCTCTGGATCTCATATATGTTGTTTGTTTTGTTTTTTTGAAAAAGGTTTATAGGCTAAGTTCAGAGTGTTCCCTTTACACTTCACAATATATGAAATCAGCATGATATTGCAGAATTATGAGTATGTAATTCAATTCCTAATGTTTCCTTTTTACTTCTTTGCCCACCTCCTTCTCTCTCTACCCCTTCTTTCTCTTTTTCACTATCCTCTCTCCTTTTCTTTGTTCTTACTCTTTATATACTGTAAGACATCTTAGAAAAATATTCATGTTGTAGATAAAATATAAGACCAGAGCATTGAAGGACCCACACAATGTATATTTACGTTTGAAGACATTTTTGTAGACTTAAAGACGGGAAAGGGGCATTTAGGATTGAATATGGTGTCTTGGATTTTGTAGGGAAATTTTTTTTGTTTATTTCTTTGTCCAGTATGTTTACATATTTATTTGACACATTTCTGTTTAGAAAATATAATTTAAAAAAGAGAGAGAGAGAAATTACATCCGAGAGTATCTTATATAAAGAATGGCGCTTCAGAGAAATTAAAAAATAGATTATTATTGTCTGTTATTGAATTATTATCGAAGATTGAGGTGCTAAGTCTTGTTATGGTTTTGGATAGCATCCATTCGTCCAGAATATTAACTTAACTAGGAACTATGTTGTAAGCAGTAGTTGTTAATAATTCGTCAAGGTGGTAATTGGGATGAAATTACCAGCATTCGAGAGCAGGTGAAGACAATAACCTCAGCGAATAAAGTATTTGGTGCTTTGTGGACAATGCTTCCAGATTTTTCTTTAATATAACTTTATGATCCAGGTGTTTAAAAATATTTCCTTGTGTTTTTGGAAGACCTTTTTTGTTTTAATATGAAAGACCCAGTCATCATTATTTAAGTTTTATCAGATCATATTTCATATGAATGTAAGCAATATTAGTGCAATTTACTTAAAATTGGGAGTAAAATAACTGAATTGTTGGTATGTAAGAATTAATTTAATGTGAGCTAGAAGATCATTGTAGATTTTAAGAATAGTAGAACCTGAAGCAGATTGTAGTATAGTATATTATGCAAATTAAGATAAAGTTTCTGCTGTCTTTTAAAGGATCTTGTAATATAGTTACCAAATGAATATGTTACCATGTAATATTTAGTATGAATTTTCTCCAGTAAAAGCAAAATGACTTGATTGTAAAAATCAATAGCCTGAGACTGTTTACTGTACTCTTTAGAAAGGAAAATGTAGTATTTGTCTGACATTCCATTAGCATTGCTTATTGTAGAATACTACCACAGTAAAGTGAAATTTACAAACTTGTTCATGTGACTTAAGATTTAAAAAAAAAAGATTTTAAATGATATATATATATATATACACAAATATAAGAATGCATAAAACCTGTAAGTGGTTTTAGGAAAGACATTTTTTTTCCATATATTTTTTGTAATAGCTCCCATGTACTGATTATGTAATTTAATGTCCTCATTTGCAATCCTTTGTATTTCAAGCTCATTCTGATACAACAGAATGTACTCTTAGCATCACAACAGAGCTCTTCAGGAGGGAGCTTTGCAACTTTTAAATGACTGCAAGTGGGAAATGATCACGACCTAAGGTGGCAGTAATTTTACATTATTTAATACTGGTGAAGGGCAAATTCGTTAGAAAACCCATCATTGCTTTATTAATTATTTTTTGCATATGATAATCTTATCATTAAACTGTTCAGGTGAAATGGAGTTGCAACTTTTTTTTTTCTTTTTCAATACATGTTATGTTACACTATTGACAAGTACAAAGGACTATCCAGATCTTCTGTATTATATGTAAAAAGTAGTTATAATAATAACCATATGTGAAAATATTTTATTTGTATCATTTTTATGTTTTGCACTCATAAAGATAGTTGTGGTAATCTTTTGAGTTGTTATTTACCCCTATCCCTTTCCTTGGAAAAGTAAAAAAAAAACAAATATTATCCCTGTCATCATTTATTATCAATATTGACCATAGCTACTACTCAACGTTCTCATTATTACTGCAAAAAAAAAAAGAAAGCTAATTGGAAGCAGAGTCTGCCGTGCCCTCAACATTTTGCAAGAGTTCGACTGTTGTTCCAGGCTCTGGTGCCGGTGTGGTCTCTTTACTGGGAACTGTGGAACTTGGGGCCGACTCAGGTGCTACTGGGGTCAGTGATGCCCAGTACTTGTTGCCTGGAATGATGATCATATTTAGTCATTAAAGTGGGTGACTACTCATTTAGAAATCTGTTACTTGATTTTTAAACAGGTAAATATGTGAATACAATAAATGTTCTAATTTTTACTTGGTATGTTAATAAGAGAAAGATAATGGTTATCTTAATGATTCCAATTGGATGCATACAAAGTATAAATCTGAAAGGATTACAATTTCTCAACCAGAGTATACTCTTATTATAAGGAGGGAAAGCAACTTGGTGTTAACCCCTTGGTGCCGGGTATGACGTGTACATACGTGCTATGCCCACCGTGAGTACTTGTTAGATTGTTTTTACGCATAGATGGCAACACTTGTACTAAATCACCAATGAGCCAGTTATGAGCAACGCCCGTCTCGCCCGTTTACCCGTTTCTTTGATTTACAAAATATTTTACATAATCTTATTTTGCTGTTACTAATGTTAAAAAACATTATAAAAATTATAATGTTTATGATGAAAATAAAACCATCAATTTTCATAGCACTAGTGAAAACTACGTTTTTCCCACCATTTAAATCAGGCGCTAGCAGAGCCATCTATTGGTAGACATTTCACGAAAAACATAGAAAGTGGGCACAGTATTTTCTCTATTTTTTGTTCATTTTTCCCGGCACCATTGGGTTAACAGGGCTGATCTGAAACCCACAGCATATATTCAGTGATTTACTAGTCTGAAATAGTTAATAAATAAATAATAAATAATAAATTGGAAACTTCTAAATTACTTTTACCATGATCCACAAAATGTTCAAAAGGTATCTTCTATTTCTCAGAATACATGAGATAAAAAACTGTACTTCAGTGATAAAAGCTAAATCTTTAATATTCATCTTGTACATTTTACCTACATAAGTAATGCTCTATACTACTGTATACAGAGTAAACTTAAGATTAACAAATTAAAATATCAATAGAATAATTTTGACTGCAATTTCTTTGAAGTAAAAAATCATTAGAACTCACCTCTTCTGTGGTGTTTTATCCTATCACCACCATGTTCCTGGTAGTCGGCTCTTGTCAGACCCATTGTAACTAACTCGTCAGCACTGTCTCTTGCCCCATACCAAGGATCCAACACTGGGTTCTATTTCAGGAAGATAATATAATCAATACTGGGTAGATTTTTTTTTTAGAAAGTTAAAAGTATAAGTAATCTTTATTTCTCCCCTGATCCACTGATGCCCATGATAAGCAATGTCTGCTACAGTTTTTTGTAACCAATTATTCTTACATAGATATGGCGCAAGCACTTAGTCATCAAAGAGTTAGTGATTAAGTCTACCTGATCTCACCTAACCTACCCTATTCCTTGTTTTTATTTTTTATTTTTTTTCTTTCGAAGTTCTTATCTATCATATAATCATTACTATTGTTGTTGCTATTATATATATATATATATATATATATATATATATATATATATATATATATATATATATATATATATATATATATATATATATATATATATATATATATATATCAATCAGTTTATAAAAATACAAACTTTTTTTTCCCTGAGAATACAAGGAAACAGGTAATCAGGTGAGGTTTAGTAAATGACTCCTTGGTGACTAAGTCCACTGATAAATAAAATACAATAAATTAAATTTAAATGGATACATAAGAACGACATAGAAGAGGGAGGGGGCAGTGCCTGTCATATACACTGTGGCACCAATCCATCAATATACCACTAGTTCAAGTGTAGTCAGAATTAATTGTTACAATTATTACACTGCTGTTTATGGTGCACATAAATACATATCAAAAGTAAATATCAAGACACTAAATAAAGAAAATTCTGTATTTCCTCTGATATTCCCATTCATTTATTATAGAATGCACAGGAGAGATCTCGCAAACCTTGGCTAGGCTGACGCTGAACTGTGACTCAAATGGTCTCATGGCCAGAAGCTCCCGTTCTATTCTTGGCTTCAGTCCTGGAAGTGATGCTGGACCACCAGTCAGGAACACATTCTTGACAAGCTTGTTCTGAGTTTCGGCATCAAAGAGACCTAGGACATACTGAATAGTTGCTGTAATGCCCCCTTGCTCTAGTCCATACATATACGGCTGGAAAAGAAGCTCACCAATCCTGATCTGGAAAGAAAAACTAAAGGTTAATAAAAGCCAGAAGAGAACACGTGATTTTCTACCAATCTATTTAATTACATCTCCATACTATCCTGCACAGACCTTCGTACTGTACCTGTTCAGTCGACAGAAGAAGCTGATAGTTTTCTGCAACTGAGGTGGGCTTGTTGTTTGTTGTTTCCCCAAGGAATTCCGGACTGTGCTGACGGAGAGCTGACTCGAGCTCCTGCAATTTCTCGTTCTCTTCTTCACTGTCTGATCCTCCACCCTCCTAGGTTGTGTTTTGAAGATTTTTATACTTTTGCCTTGTATCTTACATAACATTTACAAAATTATATTACTCTTAATGAGTTTTTTATTTTTTTTTCCTAAACATTCCCTCAAGATTTAGGATATTAACATGTATAGCAAGCTTTTCTGTCATAATAAAGAGGGTGATCCAGTATATAAAAACTTAAATCCGTGACATCTAATCCATAATACTATGCATTTTACTTTACTGAACATGTATAAACTAGTTATTGTTAATGCTGTGACAGGTCAAAATATTTTAACATCATCTCATACTAGAATTACAAAAATAAAAAAACAAAGTCATTCAATATTGGAATAATGAATTCAAACAAGCTAACAGTGAAATCTACTTTTCACAGACAAATGATCACCTCTTTCAGCATAACATAACAACAGCTAATCACTTATCAACTTCTTAGCTGCATGCCAACAAAATTCATTTCAGCAAACAAAATGCACAAACCTTGTTGATAGCCTTGTACACGTCCCAGTCTTCGTCGCGCATACCAAAATTATCATCTTTCTTTTCCCTCCTTGCAAGCTGTGATATGATTCTCATCCTTTCCTGGGAAGCTGCTGTTCGACGTTTAGCCATCTCCTGCCTGGAGCAACAGCTTTATTTGAGTCTGGGAATTTCTCTGATGATATTTTAAGAATACTAATGACAATTTGCTTAACTAATAGCCTGTGAATGATCTGAGGTCCATGTTATGGCTGACTTGGTTGGGGCTCTGAGCAAAGGGTCATTCATGTCATGTTAAAATGATGCATGCACTACATTTTATGCTATCCTTTATAATAAACCCTCATGCCCATACCACACATCCTGGGGCATTGCCTGAGGTAGACTGGGATTTGTAATACTATTGTTTTGTATAATGGGTGAAGTTTAGTACATAAAGAATTTGCCTGCCATGAACAGAAGATGGCACTCATCAAAACTTAACTTTCTCTAGCTGTTGATTTGGACCTGTAAGTAACTTTCACTCAACATGCATTGTCTTTTGGTGCTCTGTTAGTGTGACTGTCCTGAAGTATGACACAAATATGGAAAGTACTAAAGTAGCAGCCTTGTATATCACTGCATATATATTTCATAAAAATAAGATTTTTTTTTTTTTTTTTTATTCTTCAATAAAACCACATTCAATCTTGTACAGAGAGCGCAACATACCTTACTTAATGAAATGGACTAATGTATATAATTAGGCTACGGCAGGTATGATTTAAAAACTAATATGCATATTATGCATTTATGAATACATAAAAACATTAGAATCATGTCTTGCATGCAAGTGATATAAAAAAAAATCAATGAGGAAAGCACACTGAAAAAGGCCCTGGGGACAAGCCCAGTCAGTTGTGCATATTGCCTGGAGTGGAGGCCATTTTTTATATTTTTTATTCAATGAACTATATACATTTAAGTGATAATGTCTTGAAATGCTCTCTGAAATTCATTCACAGAGATTTATCTCTAAGTGTAGTTAGTCTCTCCATTCTGAGTCCCCCCCTCCCCCAACTGCATCAGAGGGTATAGATGGACCAATTTCCCTAAAGAGGCAGAATCTGTTAAAAGCAAAGAGCTTCCTTAGGTTAACAACTATCCTAATCTTTAGTTTAAGGTGGATGGTAGCTTAGGACACTCTGCTGGCTTGACAATTAGAAAGTGGGAAACTCCAGTGCAATGATGTCAAATATGCAGCATATTCATGGGCAAGCAGTAAAGATATTTAATTTCCCATTTTTCATCAAAATTATTAATCTGTATTTGATTTACATTTTACCTGCTTGACCTAACACCATCACATATGTATCTTTTTATATATGAGCTAAACATGCTGAAATTACTTGTACCTGAGATAATGCATTGACAATCTTTAACCCAATGCCACCAGGCATGGCATGTATGGACATGCCATGTCCACTGTGAGTTTACTTTATTATTTTTACACATAGATGGTTACACATGCACCTAGTCACCAATGAGCCAATTACGAGTTCTGCTTGTCTCGCCAGTTTACCCTTCTCACACACACTCACACTCACACACACACACACACACACACACACACACACACACACACACACACACACACACACACACACACACACACACACACACACACACACACAGATATATGCATGTATTATGATTCTTTGCCTCTTGTTTGCAGTACTATTAACCTCTTTTCTGCAAATGCATTTTTGCTTTTTCATCATTTCCCTAGGTCTATATCTGTCTTTGTCATGCTGTATCAAGATGATAAGTGTCTCACAACAAAACAGCTCCACCACCCAACACTCTACAACAAGAATTTCACTTCATCTGCCCCTTGGCCAATCTTTTTTTCTATAATGAGCCCTTCCTGCCTCCGACCCCTGGCCAGACATTTTCCTGACAAAACATTCATATCACCCAGATTTAAGATATTAATATACATAAAATTCAACCTCTGCTTTATGTCAGGTTGATTATCATAACTTTAGATGTTGCTATGAATATTCTTCAGGACACAAAAAAAATAAACAAATAAAAAGATAACGAAAAAAAAATTACAACACCCTTAGTCTCCTTTAATCAGACTGCTTAGAAAACTAAAATTCTAACAATATATAAAAGTCCTAGAACTCACACCTTTTGTGTCTTCTTGCTGCTCTCCGGGCCTGAATTTCACGCCACTGCTGTTTAACCTCCTCAACCCATTGCTCCAAATCAGCTCTCTTCTTTGGGCTTATTTCCTCACATACTCTCTTAGGTTTTGGCTCCTGGCAAAATATGCAACATGAAAGGAATAAAACTAATATCTGTAATTAATAACACATTGCAATTTATGTATTATTTAATTAAAAGTTATAAGCTTAACCATTCTAATATTTAACTATGCAGTATAAATCATAGGATCATAACACTACTGAACAAGCCAGAAACAAAATAAAATAATGAATCCATGCAAAAACTGCCTCACTTCTCACCTCTTCTTCAACAGCCGCAGCATTACTGGCCTGCAACATTTTCTGTCGGGTCTTATCTATCTTTTGCTGCAGGACTGAGATCTTCTTGGTAAGTTCCTCGGGGGAGGACACTTCAGCCTCCTCAAGTGCATGCTGGTACTCAGGCTCATCAGGTGTGAACTCTTCCATAGCTTCTTCAAGCTCCACCAGACGTGTAAGTTCTGCCTCGTCTTCTATCAACTGAGGGGGGAAGCTACATAGTTAGACATGTAAAAGAAAGACGGCAGGAAAAAGTAAGATGAGAGGAAAGAGTAGAGAAAAAGAATGAAAGTATGTGTGTGTGTGTGTGTGTGTGTGTGTGTGTGTGTGTGTGTGTGTGTGTGTGTGTGTGAGAGAGAGAGAGAGAGAGAGAGAGAGAGAGAGAGAGAGAGAGAGAGAGAGAGAGAGAGAGAGAGAGAGAGAGAGAGAGAGAGAGATAAGGGAGGGAGAGAGAGAGAGAGAGAGAGAGAGAGAGAGAGAGAGAGAGAGAGAGAGAGAGAGAGAGAGAGAGAGAGAGAGAGAGAGAGAGAGAGAGAGAGAGAGAGAGAGAGAGAGAGAGAGAGAGAGAGAGACAGAGAAAGAGACAGAGACAGAGACAGAGACAGAGACAGAGAGACAGAGACAGAGAGACAGAGAGACAGAGAGACAGAGACAGAGAGACAGAGAGACAGAGAGAGAGTGAGAATGAGAGAGTGAGAAAGAGAGAGAAAGAAAGAGAGAGAAAGAAAGAGAGAGAAAGAGAGAGAAAGAGAGAGAAAGAGAGAGAGAAAGAGAGAGAAAGAGAGAACTTATTTCGAATCGTTCATCATTCCTTTCAACAATAAATGTATTATAAATCAATTTCCAACTTACCTTCTCTTCTCTCTTCTTTGCATTCAGTTCCACCAGTCTTCTGGCGGCTTCTTTCCTTCGTTCTCTCTGCTGCTCCACTGATACCGTGCTGATTGGCGCTGCTACGTAAGGAAGTTGGATTCTTCTCACAAACTTTTCAAAGTAATTAACGTCAGACCACTTTGCAATTTCAGGCATGTAGTCTTCTGCAATGTACATGTGAGTGTGGAGAATCTCCTGAAGGAAAAGAAAAAGATATTTGGATTTGTGATAGGGAAAGACAAGACTTGAAGATGATTTTTTTTTTAAATATGCAAGAAGGTCAAAGTTTGCATAGGCAACAAGTGATGAGAAGTTATATAAAATGCAAATGGAATAATACAACCTCCACTACACATTCCCACATGAAAATAAACAAACAAATAAATAAAGAAATGAACTTGGAGGAAACACAGACTTAGCAAAACATTCATTATCTTTTACCTCAGCCCTGGACAGAGTAACAGCATTCAGGTGTTGCGGGAATCTCAGCTGCAGCCAACGCCACAGAAATTTGGTGAGGTGAAGCCCCCCCATTCGTATCCTTCTGGTGTTCATGGCATCAGGAAAGCCATCCAAAACTGGGGTTACATGTGTTGTGTAATTGCCAATGTTGACAAGTAACCCATCTGGCCTGTTTAGGTTGTTCCTGTGGTAACTTAGCATTCCGTCGACGCAGTAAGATATGCTTGGCACGCCATAGCACTCAAATAGCAACTCCGACATCACTGTAAGAATCAAAACAGAAATGCAGCTGAATGAAAATGATTAAAAAAGGAAAGCAAGTAAACACTAAACTAAATTTCAAATTGGCACCTATCACAGTATAAAGATCTCCTTTAATATGAAGAATAAGCAGTCTAAACATAAGTGAGCAAGTGACTGAGTGTGAATGTGAGACAATGTGGGCCAATGTGTATCTTACTTTATTTTCTTATGAGGTAAGGGGCTTTTTTCAGCAACATGTTTGATAAAAAGGGATAGCAAGAGGGTGAACAAAGGTGGATCACTCATCATGAGGTCATTTTTCAAAAGTGAAGCCTTTTATCTCTGAAGAAAAGTTGTCTGTAGATGTGGGCTATAATAAAATATATATGAATGAAGCCTGTGCTTTTCCGACACTACATCACCTTTAAATTTAAATAACAAATAATCAATTATATTTATTATGTTTTGAGATTTATGAGTTAACTATACTGTGTTTTGATTTGAAATACACAATAATAATTAGCAATGTCCTTCCTTTAAAGTGCAACTTGTTTGTGTTTTGGCTGTAAGTATAAAAAAGAAATATTTGGTATGTCTTGCATGCTTGCCCCTCCATAACTCTCCCTCACTCTATGTCCTGCCTAGATATTCATTGCTCTCATAAAAACTATTATAATGGCAATAAATATAAACTCATTTGAAATCAAATGAGATAAATGTCAGAATGCTTCTTGCAACTGAAAGGTATTTCATCAGCAGCAATACTTACACTGTCTTGAGTAATTAGGATTGCAAAACGCCTCAGTCAAGATAATCGGGTGATCCACTTGCGGTGTGTCGATGCCCAAGTGTGCGAACGTGTAGTCAAACATTGTCTCTTGTGCCTCATAATGAGTGACAATATTCTCATCGTGGGGTGATTTCAGTTGGAACCGCACAGCTTCAATGTTGCTTATGTCATTTGCCACCAATACCTCAATCTCCTAAATAAAAGTAATTAAATGGGTAAGTGAAAAAGTAAAAAAAAGGCAGTAAGAATGATACTGAGAAGAAAATAACTGATTTGAATATTAAAGACATCCTTTACAACAATGAAATAACAAGCCTCACTTATCTGTATATATTTGTATAAGAAATATCACTTTCATGATTTATATTTCTCAAATACCAAATAAAATACACTTCTTCATTCTTCTTACAACACATAAATGGGCCAAATCTTACCGCTGCCAGTTTTTTCCCTCTATCTTTCCTGTGTTTTGCATAGCAATTACGGAAGACTATTCTTGGCTCTTGGTCTGTGGCCCATCCAACACGACAGTTGTATGATCCTGAAAACAAAGAAGGCAATAAGAAGGGTCAGCTGATATCAACACACTAATAAAAAGTGGCAGATAATGATGCAACTATAAATGCAAAACACTTCTGTGAAGATAAACTACTACAAATTATTACATCTTTCATTTATATCTACCATTGTCAATGATCAGTGGAACTCCTTTATACGTTCGTCCATATTCATGGATGGGATCCTGAACAGATCTCGCATCCTTGAGTTCAAAGATGTTCTCAGTCTTCTCTGTAAATAAAAGTAGTAAAATTAGTGATTAAAGTATGAAGACTGAGCTTCTTTATGGAACTGGAAGATACACTAAAAAGTTTCAGTAAAACTGATATACAAAAAAGAAGAAGAAGAAGAAGAGAAGAAAGAAAAACTATAGAACTGACATGATTTTATTTTTATATTCAATAATATTTACTTTTCTAATCAAATAAAGACAGATATAGAGAAATATACTATACTTAGCCCTAAAAATAAAAGAATGATTGCTTCTTGGTGAGGTACTTTTACTACATCTACTGTAAATGTATTTGGTATGGATAAAGAATAGGCTAAAATATTATTGTACTCAGTGAACTACGAAAAACTTTTTTCCTTGCAATAACTTTTGTGATGAAATTGGTACTGATGGATGCATTATATACTAAAGTGATTATTCAATCAAAAAATTTTAGTTTGATATCTACCAAGAAGAGAAGAAACTACTGTACAAAATAATATTTACATTGATCAATATCTCATACAGATGACCACACATCTACTTGTCTCAAACAAACTGAAGATTACCCCATGCACTGACTATAGTTCCCTGTATACTGAAGCTCAAATCTAAGGAGACTAATATTACTATATATATTTTTTTTATCCAATCACAATAACATTTACTGTTTAGCTATACACATCTTCAAAAATTCATGCCAATAAAAGTTTTTGCAACAAATTGCTAAACTAATCAATTGTGGAAATCTTTATGGCTTACTGAAGAAAACTGATACCTGTAAAGTTTTGCCTAGAAATATACAGGGCTGATGATGCTCACTGATAGGATTTACTTCCCCTTGCTTGAGTGTCACATTTAACAAATAGGAAGTCTAATAACGCATCAATTTTGGGGAATGAAAACATAAAAAAAAGTCTTCCTTTTCAGTCAGTTCTCATTATTTTCATTAACCATTATCATCAATTTCTCATAATCTGTTTGGGCTTATTACCTATTCTTACTAAAATTGGCATCTGATTCTGAGTTAGCCTTTGTAAAATTAAATATACAGGTGGGTTTATGCTAGTTTAACTGAAAATGTAGAATTCCCAGCTGATTAAAACCTGTTATACCTTTCAAAGCATACTGTACTACACAAATGAAGAAAATGCTTTGCAAATTCTCCATGTGCATTGTCCACAAACTGAGAGAAAAATACTGTAATAACTACAAAGAACACAAAATATTTAAATAGAAATCTACACAAAGTAAAGGTAAAGCTTCAGTAAACAATCAAAGTTGTATTAGGTCTATTTAGGCCTTTTAAAATCTAAATAATTTTAACTCTCTTATCTTCACCTAAAAAGATACATATACACTGATGTTTCTGAAAATTGGAACAATAAATTTAAATCTATAAGAGAAAATCTTTTAAAATGACTTTTGAATGATAAGAAGAGAGAGAGAGAGAGAGAGAGAGAGAGAGAGAGAGAGAGAGAGAGAGAGAGAGAGAGAGAGAGAGAGAGAGAGAGAGAGAGAGAGAGAGAGGGAGAGAGAGAGTTAATGAAATATTAATAATGGAGCAATGTCTCTCCTGAATATTTCTAAGTTGGGTAATTTTTTTCCTTTCACACATCCATCAGCCTTGCAATCTTTATTCCTTGCTGTAATTATTCAAGGTGTAATAAGCATGAATCTCTTGTTTTTCAATTGCAAATGATATGAGTGGAGTAACTCTTCACAAAGTGACTGCAACCGTCTGAGACTAAGTCCCTATTATTCCAGCCACTCCTGGAGATCCACAAACATAGCCTCATGAACCAAAATCCTTCCTAAGCCTGGAGCTTCACCCCAACACCCCTACCCAAGTTCTTTGCCTGTGCAGGTTATTCTATGTATAAGTGAATGTAGTTTTCCCCATTCTTTATGACAGTAGCACAAGATTCTCCTGTAAATAAATACTATAGCATTATGTTTTGATCAACTTTCTTATTATCAATAGATGAAAAGTGTTCTAATTTTGTCACTTTGTCCACTGCAGACAGAGTTTAATTGTAGCATATAGCTGTATGAAACTGAAACTATTCCACTGAAACTATTCCCAAAGTGCATTGGCTTCCTTTTGGATTGGTGTGCTTTAGATCTGTTTCACTTGGGCCTCTACCCTTATCTAACATTCATTTACCTTGTAGAGGACCCATTTAACGTGTCTGGCCCTTTCATCTCTTAGGAACGTAATGGTATTCTTGGATTTCAACTCTGTCATTTCCAGGTACCACACAAAGTCTCTCGCTCTACCGCAAGACACATAAATTTAATGAGATAATGAGCGAATGAAATGATAATGATGATGATAATGAGCGAATGAAATGGTCATGATGGAATGAACATTTAGCGACTTAATGCACGTGCAAAACTCCCATCATAAGAGGCACGATCATCTTATTTTACAATTTTACAATATCAACTGTAGCTTTGATTTCAGTTAAACGCATTTTCACGTTTTCGACTCAAAGTGTAATCTAACAAACCTTCATCTTCCATTTTTTTCCCTCAAATTTGCGAGGTGTTGTGTTTGAAGCCGCTGGTTTGTTTACATCACCGTTATTCTAACTGTGAGGGAGATGCTCGTTAGATTACGATATGTGGATTATTTTCTCTATAAAAAAAATGCGTATTTTTTTCTAAACTCGTTGTTCCTTTTATTATTGTTTTATTATATGAAGACTAGAATACAAAAGTTTTCTTTATGAACAAGTTTATCGAGAAACGGTAATAAAAAAATCCTTATCGCAAAGTGAATTTAACGCCATCTATCGAACGTACTCATCACTACTATTACTTTCAAGGGGGGACTATGATAAACAATTAACAATGGATAAAACTAATCTTTCATTGCTCATTGTATATTCATATCTAAATTTTAATTTTATTGTTATGAAATATATGTATTTTTTCGTATAAGTATGCATTAAAAAGGAATCTCCAACGAGAATAATAGCACCTATTCATTGGTTAGGACACAGCTGCTGCAAAATATTTTATTTAATTAATAACACTGCATGCGAAGCAAACGATGCATTTCACATATTGTTAAGGGTATGTCCTGTTCTTAAATTCATATTCTTGCTCACAATTTTCCGTTTTAGAAGGAAATTCTGTTGATTTGATCTTTACTCATGAAGGATAGTGGCAAGGGCATTAGTGCCACTGATTGATAGATATGTAGTCTAATTATTAATATCACCAAAAATACTTTTTCGAATTAAAAAAAACTGAAAAATCATACGTCTTTGTAGTATTCCTATCGAACAAATAATTATATACGCAATCTTGATGACCACAACAGCTCTTGTTTAACAATAATACAGAAATTTCTACTATCTTTTCTACCAGGCTTTCTTTTAAAATACACGTAACCCAGGCGCAGGGCACAGTACCAAGGTCTCTATAAGTATATAGACCCTGTATATCCTCACGACACCCTCTGATGCCGTGGGTACAACCTAGGAATGGCGCAAGACTCTTTAATAATATAAATTCTGTACTTAAATTTTAAGTCGCCCTTACTCAGCTGGTATATGTTTCTCATTTGGACATGTAGCCCGTGTCTATGTTTCGAGCCCCGGTAATTCGTGGAATAAAGGAAGATACGCTTTGTTGTAAAAGTAAATTCGTATGAGGTTAAGGGAAGGAGGGGACAGGGGGTGCCACAGAAAGGTCTATGTGAGCCTAGGGTGCCATCATAGTATTGTAATGCGTAGTTCAGAATATTGTTGTTTTTTTCTGCTGTCTGGCAATTTGTATAACGAATAGTCATCCTTCTCTACAAAATATAATTCGGGGTGATTTTCTATTAAAAAATCACTAATCCATTTGACTACACATTTCTGATGTAAATATGTAGACTTCCTTGTTTATAGACTTCTGGGAAAATGTTATACAAGTATTTATATGTTGACATACTACTTCCGCGGAAATATAAAAGTCACGGTTAAATGACACACCACTTCTTGTTGGTTGAAATGATTTATCTGTTATGTTTGGTATTTCCTTGGAAATCAGCAACTATATAACTGATAGGATGGCCACGTTTCCTTCCTCTTCCTCGATTATTAGACTTATTATCATTAATATTGTTGTTATCATCATCTTCATCATCATCATCAATCATCATTATCATTATCATTATCATTATCATTATTATCATCATCTTCATCACCAATATCCTTATCATTAGTAGTAGTACCATTATCATTATTGTTGTTATTATTATCATTGGTAACAATTAGTTATAGTACTAGTAGTTATAATAGTAGCAGTAGGACTACTGGTATTACCATCCTCATTGTCACTGATATCACCATCATCATTATCATTAATGTAATATTTACTGTTATTATTATTATTATCATCATCATCATTACTATTATTACTGTGATCACTATCATCATCATCATTACCATTATCATTGTCATTATTATCATGATTGCTATCATTATTATTATTATCATTATGATTGTTATCGTTATTGTTATTATTATTATTATTATTATTATTATTATTATTATTATTATTATTATTATTATTATTATTATTATTATTATTGTTGTTGTTGATATTATTATTATTATTATTATCATCATTATTATTATCATTATTATTATCATTATTATCACCATTATCATCATCATCGTCATTCTTCTACCTCTCTTTCTTCTTCTTATTCTTATTATTATTGTTATTACTACTAGTAGTAGCAATAGTAGCAGTGATTGTGCCATTATCAGTGTTGCTGCTGCTACTATTACTACCACCACTACTACTCCCACTACCATTACTACTACTACGAACACTTCTACTACTACTGCTACTAATACTACCACCACCACCACTACTACTACTACCACCACTACTACTGCTACCATTTCTACTACTACTACTACTGCTATTACTACTACTACCACTTCTACTACTATTGCTACTGCTACTACTACCACTTCTACTACTAGTACTACTGCTACTACTGCTACTACTACTACTACTACTACCACCACCACTACTACTACTACCATTACATTTTTATTGATATTTTTACCATCATTACAGTTACTGTCATCATGTGCCCGGTCCTAAATTCAAACAAATGAAAAATCACGTTTAGTCAATATATATTTCCCAACCATAAGAAGCATTCCCCCCATAGATAGGCAAGCCGAGCCGGTTACTGGCGACATCTATCTTTCGGACTCGACACTTCCCCTCGACTGACCACGACGCCCCGGCCCACTTTCCGGTCCTGAGAGTGAATGGCCAAACTCCGGTGAAAATACCTTTGTTTACATCGCGATAAACAAATGAATCTTTACGATCGCAAGTCCCCAATCACCCCATCAATAACGAATAACTGCTGGCGACTTTAACTTAGCTGAGTCGCATTTTAGCACGGCGTCAAAAAACAGATTGGTGGAAGCACATTTTCCCCCCTCAACCAACTGCAAAAACTTGCAAAATTTCGCGGAGATTTAACTTGGCATCAGTCCAGTTCTCCGCCATATTTGGCGAGATGTCCCTTTACATTTAAATACTAATACCCGGAGATAGCGTAGATAAGATAATAAATTCTTATCGTGGCGTTGAATGCCCGTGGTGCCCGTATCGAGCAGCGAGGAAGAAGGATAGTAAGGGAAACCAGCCCCAGAGCGCCGATAATACGAGCAGAATGGATGACTTAGGTGAGTGGGCGGAGGAGGCAGGTGTCAGAGCCTCCCGTGACTGAGCCTTCACGTGTCCGTCGCCTTCGTGGGGCTGAGATGACGTGACATGCTGCCTTTTGGGATGCTGATGTCAATTGACGCCTGGTTTAGTGCGCGTAATGGGATCGGGCTTGTCGGGACGGGTTGGCTTGGGGTAATTGTGGGTTGTGGGTATGACATGACTGGGTGATTTATACCTATATGTATATGTTTTTTGGCGTTATTTAGTTATTCTGAATTTAAAATATACTTATTTTTTATGTCTTACTTACCATTAGGCAATGTGGCCAGTTGCATGGTAATTAAATATAGATATTTTTATTTGTTTATTTATTTATTTATTTATTTTTAAATTTAATGCATTTACCAATTACCCCACATTGACTGTAAGTTCTTTTTTTCTAAAGAAATACATTCATCATGTTATTTCTTATTAAGATGCATTTTTTTTTGGGGGGGGGGGGGTGAGGGAAACCATTTTTTTCCTGGAATATTTTGTTTATAAAACATGAAGTTTATGTAAACAGTTTATATAAGGCAACTCTGGCTGATTGAACTCACGTTTTACAGTATGACTTGCATTTGCAAGATCACATCCATATTAAGTTATATTTATCTTATTAGTCATACTACAATTTCTTTTTGTCCTTTTCCAGCATTTTTTGTACAATATTATAAGATTGAGTAATGAATGTCAGAATCCTATATATGGAAACATACTCATATATATGTCCATAAAATAGTCACCATATTTTATATACTTGGATGGAATATGGTAGATTGATGCAATTTATACAGTTTTGTAATATATAATTCAGGACCATTGAGACAGTAAATATGTTGTCATCTGAATAAGATATGTGGGATATGTAAATATATTACATGAATTCTAATGATGTGAGATAGGTAATTAAATGTGAAAAACTATTTTTTTTTGTTTTTAAGAAAGAATCGGGCATTTAGAGATTGTGCAAATAACCCTAAATCACCGGTCAACGATTATCCAGTTGGTTAGAAATTTGATTTTTAAAAATTTTTTGTATTTATTTATTTTTTTCATGTATGGAGAATAAAGCAAAATAATCTGTGCTTATTGTATTGTCTGCATTTATCATAGTCATCTGTTATTCCCAAAATATGCAACACACAAAGAAGGATATAATATATACACCATTACTTCTTTGAAACTCAGTGTAATTCCTCTCATTGACATGAATTGTATATCATTCATTTGCTTTAGTGTAAAGACCTATTCATTGATCAAGTCCAAAGGAATTCTTTTGGAGATATTATATGTAGCAAGATATCTACTAGACAAGTTTATGTGGTTGTGTTTGAGTTTTAGTTATCAGTATTTATAATCAGCTGTTCTGTTGATTCAAGGAATTTCATTGAATTACTTAGAATCAGATTTTTTACTCATGAGTAGGTGATAATTTGCATTTTAGTTGTGTGTTAGCATTATCACTAATATTTATATCATAAAATCATCAGAACAGATAGGTTATTTTTGTGAGTTTGAAAAAGCTGAAGATAAGGATGACGTAGTAAATTTCAGTAACAGTGGAACCCAAGATTTTAGAATAATAACACACATATACACACACTGTCACTCATATATAAATATGTATATACATATAATAATACATAAAAGTATACATACATACATACATACATATATACATACATACATACATACATACATACATACATACATACATACATACATACATACATACATACATATATACATACATACATACATACATACATACATACACACACACACACACACACACACACACACACACACACACACACACACACACACACACACACACACACACACACACACACACA